GCAAGTAAGCCAGAGCTTTTAACTATTTTCCTAGGAAAATTAGTGAATTATTTCCTTAGGTCATGCAGTGTTGTCTAGAGTTAAATTTAGTAGCTTCAAATAAACCAACAAAGAAAACAGTGGATGGAAAACGTACTTCTGAGTTGTTGTTTTCTGAGGAAATGCATGTAATATATGAAAAGGAATAGGAACCTCAGACTACTGTGGTAATATAACCTCTACAGGCAGGCATCACGAGAACAGGAGTAAGTTCTTTCAAAGTGGCTGAAGGACACAAAGCTGCACGTTGGAGAAGAAAAGACCTGTTGATAGGGTTCCCTGTTAATCCTCCCATTTCACATTCCTCCCCAGCAGTCAGCTGAATGACAGAGTGGGGAAATCAGTTCCCCTTGCCCTCAGAACAATGCAATTCCTCAAACAAAATTAATGGCTTTAGCAAGGCAAATGTGTTTTTTCCAGTTAAGAAAACTGTGTACCGGCAATGAATGACTGTAACACTAAAAATACATGACAAGTAGAATACACCCAGACTTTAAAACAGGTTAAAAAAGGACATGAAAAATCCCCCAAGCTGTGAGCAGCAAATCTAATGAAACTTGGGATCTTAAACAACTTGTGTCCTAGGACCTCAGCATCTCCTTCCAAACTGCGTGACCCTCCATCCTCCAAAAGCTCTGTGACATCCCTCACCCACGACACTCACCCTTCCAGCATCCCATTTAGTCCCAAAGGCAACACCTGAGGTCTTCCCTTGGCCCCTTCCCTCTTGCTGCATCCTCAGTTTTCATCCTCACTCACTAAAGGATGTGCTGTAGACTCTCACCTCCTTCCCACACCAGCCACCGGCCCCCAGCACGGGGGAAGCTGCCGCAGGGCTGCCTGCAGCCAGGTGAGGACCCAGCTCTTGCTTTCTGGCTGCTCAGTGGCCAAACAGAAATGAAAAGGTGAGTTTTACCTGGGATTCTGTCTGTAGAAGCAACACTTAAGCCTCTTTCCTCCTCCAGCTGCTAATTTTTACAAGGTTTATAAAAACAGAGCAACTTTCCATCAGATGTGGTTTATAGCAAACAGACAGGCAGAGAATGCATGGACAGTCCTTGCATTAACTTTGTTTCCTTAGGAACTAGACTAAATAGAAGGCAAAACCTCAGGTTAGTAAATAGATACTAAGTTATCAACTTTGTTATAAAGACACTGGTGTTTTTCATGTTCTCTTTGTTGCATTTAAAAGTTTGCAAACCAAATTACTTACAAGAAAATGTAAAAATTTTTTTAAAATAAACTTATTTTAGAAATCTGTGAAAAATTATTTGGTTACCTATGATTAAGAACTGAATTATTATTTACAAATGCAATATTTTTTTCATAATCCTTCTCCCAGTCTTTCAAATTCATGACTACACTAAATTTTGTATTAAAAACTCAACTTGAGCAAGCATCTGAAAGATGAGTCCAAGCTACATGTGCAATTTTGCCCCACCTTTATTGGAAAACTCTTTCCGTGAAGCAACACTGATCTTTTTTACAAGTTATTCAAATGATTGTCTACTGCAAGTTTTGCTGCATGACAAAGTAATACCTTTGAAAATATTTGCCGTGTGTATTTGAATACCTCTTATAAGTTAGCATAGGTTGTTGGAGATTCCATGCAGCTCTTGCACAGTGTTGGAAATAAGTGAGACTGGGCAGCACTTCTGACTTCAGGAAGAGATCCCTGCTGTGAAGTCCATCCCCACTAAAATCAATAGGGCTGACAGTGAATTCAGTAGGAGCTGAAGCTGGACCTAAATGCCCATCTATTATAGCTGCCAAGGCATTAGCCACAATTTTTTTTTTCATTACATCCACTTTCTCGAGAGTGGAGCACTTCTTCCAGATTCTTCTCTTTTTGTAGACTAAGAACATTTCAAACAGACTAGACTGTGATGTAATTATGACTGTACGACTCTGCAGTTGTCATAGCAACAAAATGAGGATGGCACGTTTTTAAAAAAAACCCTTCAAATATAGGGAATTACTAGGTCTGTGCTAACTATTTCTAACCACTTTACCACATTTGTAGACCTGGTGGAGAAAGGCCAGTGACGAGTCACCCATGGTAGATTGCCTTCTGAACCTCTGTGCTCCCGGTTTTCCACCTCTGAGCAGCAGAAGCCCAACTGTCCTTGTTTCCCTAAAAACCTGCCTTTTCCTGCACCAGCTCACTGCTGGCTAAGCTGGCTGCACTTACTGAAAGAGTTGCATGGTATTCATTCACTTGGTAGTTAAGTTTTCAAGAGTTTCTTTTGTTACAGTCTTAAAAAGTATCCTTAAAAGATTATGTGTAATTCAAATTCGGGGTTTGGAGTAAAAATGGGAAAAGGATCGTTGTTGGTATGTGGTTTGGACCAAAGGTTGCAAGCTTTTGTAGTAACACAGCTTGTTCCGTCATGCACACAACGAACTCTGACTTGAAGCTGCATGTAACAATTACTTAGTACTTAAGCTCTACTTTCCCACCAAACCCTGCTTTTTCAAAGCAATTTCCCTACTTCATGCTGCTATAAAGTGGTAAAGAGATACAGCTCACAACCAAACACCAGGCATAGAAATCTGCCTCTGGAACAACTGTTTATTGACTTAATAACAAATTGACTGTTTTTAAAACCTTTGTCTAGTTAGCCAGGTTTCACTGCATTTGAATTTGCCTTAGGAATATAGACTATAATGTCTCACCTGTGCAAGAAGGCAGTATTAAAAGGGACAAGGTGCCAACAACTTAGCACGTCCTCATAATCCATCCTTTTTCCAGTGCAGATGATGCTGTGGAGTGATGCCTTAAGATTTTTATACTTCTCTTGGTACAGTGAATACAAGCTAAACATTCCCTGTTCCCCAACTCACAAGCATGCTGCATTAAAATGAGAAACGTAAATAATTTTGCCTCTTCGTTTAAGTTTCATTTATATAAGAGAAAGGACTGCGAATTTTGCTCAACTCCATTCTCACCAGCGGGACTATTAATGAATGGCAGTGTGTAAGGATTCGCAAAACAGAATCTTTAATTCTAGTAGAGACAGGATTTTCTCTGTTGAATTCAAAAATAAGTAAAATCCAATTAAGTAGGAAATTCCCATTCCAAATATAGGCAGGTAGAACCTCTTCCACTGTAATTTAAAAATTGCTTGCTTCAATCCAGGGGTCATGACTAGTCCTAGTTTTCTTAGAAGGAGGAGAGTTTGGATTCACTGAAATGTTAAATTAAAATACACACAACATTAAAAAGTTATGCTAAACATCATGCTTTTTATTTTTTGGGAAAGAGCAAGAAAATAGCAGTATTTCAACAGACTAGAAAAAGCGTCATCTAAATACCAAAAGCACAGCAAATTATATTCTAAACTGATACATTCTTAAATCAAAGCATAAAGTTGTACGTACATATGCATGTATATATATTCATACATATATACACACATACACGCACAACTTTTTAAATACAGATGTAGCCATTTGGATTATCTGCATTTGTCTTATCATTCATTTTAGTTTTGGATGAGTGAAGTAATTAGACCAGAATTAACATTAAAAAAAAAAAATCCAACCATTGCCACAGACTAGATTAAGAATTTATACACATACACAATTACAGCTCAGTCTTTACTCTTGTGGCCTTCACATTCCACTAAGGAAACCAGTTTTAGAGGGAATGCACAAAAACCCCACCCTGGAAGTCTCTTGACTTTTATCACTGCAACATCCTAGCCTTTGCTAAAAACTAAGAGAGGAGCTACCCCAGAATGTGATCTCCAATTCTTTCTGTAAACTGCATGCATGCCAGACACGAACCATGCAAAAACCCTTTGAGATTTAAGCCCTTAATTATTAGCTTGTGTGAAGATTCAGGCACTGTGCTTTACAGCAATCTTAGAATTAAAGTTAAGAAATGAAAATCGTGTTGGGAGCTGATTTTACTTAAAGTAGAGAAGGGTGAAGACTTGGATAGTTGGCAACTCTCATATTCCAAGCTGATTAAGCATTACATGTACACACTATGAAATAATAAAAACTTAACCAAGTGCTTTAGCAAGTTCTGAAAACAAAAATAAGTTATACTTCAAAGAACAAGTTACTATAAAAAGTCTTAACATATGCAAAGTATGTGCTCAAAATACTTATTTTGCATTTTTAAAAAGAGCTGTAGTCTACCTTACAGAAACAAAGTTCACCCAGTATAAAATATTGCAATTTGTCCCATTTTGTCATATGAGAGGTTTCCTTATTCTTCATATGATCGAGAACACTTGCACAAGAGTTCATGTTATTCCAAGCCACATAGTGGCAGACAGACTATGTTTGAATCTATGCTTTTACTATGCAGTACAGTAAAAGCTCAGCAAACCATTTCAGAACAGAGTTTAGCAGGTCAAAGAGCTAAGTTGATGCCAGAAATCCAGACAACAGTATAAAAGTTAATGCCAAGTGGCAGTACCAAGAAAGTGAATTAGATCAACAGAAAAAAACTGCTGATAACATTCACTATCACATGTACAGCTTGTAAGCTAGGAATAAGGAAATGTCAAAATTAGCTTAAGGAAAAAAAAAATTAAACTGTGTAAACAATCCACCCAGTACAAAACTGGATGCAGCTGATAAGAGCAGAACTAGCTTAGTAGAGCTGAGGATGTGCGTGCATCCAGATGCCTGTTCAAAATGCATTTTTCAATACAGCTGACCAAAAAAAATCACCTATAGCTATTTACACCACAGCGGAGGCTTCCCCCCCACCCCTTACAAAGTTATTACAACTCAGGAAGTCGCTGCTGTCTTCTATGATTAAAATTCCAGTTATAAGCTACCGTTTGTAAGTTGAAAACACCCACCTTGCAAACTAAATTGAAAACTCTTGTCAAGCATGTTTGAGGACTCTTCAAAAGTTAGAATACAGCACTTTCCTCAAGTGGTATTTGTATAAGTAACTTGTACTGACAGCCTGTTAAAATACACGAATTTAACACAACTCAGGGTAGCTGCATGTTCCTCCTCGCAGATCCATACAGATTCCAGTCGTTCTTGCTGAGGTGTGTTACACGGAGAGAAGGACAGAAGAACCTCGGTCGGCCTGGAGGTGAATCTTCCTGCTTCTAGAAGTACTCCTCCTCTTCATCAAAAAATCCATTTTCCAGAGCGTATGTGCAGTCCGCATTAGAGTCAGCTTGGCAGGCACCTTTATATTCTTGAATTGATTCATACAGGGAGTACAGCTGACACAGTAACGACATATCTAGCTGCCGAAGACCAACCTGAGGGGGGGAGAATTCCAACAAACAAGCCAACAGTATTACATTCTGATTTTATTGGCAACGTAATGCTATAAAAAATAAGAGGATCAAGCTTCTTTCTACATTGAACAGTTATGAAATATGGAAGTACAATTCATTTTCTAAGGTGACAGACTCCCCACAGGATAAACTGGACAAAAAATCAAGGAACAACGTGATGCGATGTGGCAGAATATGGGCAAAGTGTTCTTCAGGATTTTGTCATGTTACAAGGTCCTGCTTGACTTCCAATAAGCAGTTCACTCCTACAAAGCATTACAGATAAATTCGTAAACTCTACATTCCTCATTATGCAAGAGACACATACTTTTCCAGTAACACCGTGTGTCTTTCACACAGCTTTCTTACACAGTATCACAGGCTCTCTGTTTCTGTTTAAAACGGCCTGGACGAAAAGTTGCAAATGGAACTCTGGCTGGTTTTCCACTTCCCAGCTAGGTATCTGCTACTCTAGTTTTCTTTTCCATATCAACATACATAGGCATCTGACAAGGCTAGGCATGTCCAGCACAATACAGCATGCTACTTGAAGGCAGCAAAACTAAAGCAGAAGCCAGATAAGGATGTACATTGTAGCCTGCAAATCTGAATATTTTCAAGTGCTACTCGAGGCTTGATTTATAATTAAGTGCCTAATATTTTGGTCCCCAAACTTCTCAAATATTAGTTCCAGAGCCAATTAAAGATTTGGAACAACGTTAAAAGAAGGCTACCTTGTAGCCTGCATCTTTATGTCAGGTACAAAACCAGTACGTTGCACCACAACCCAAAATAAAGCTAGTCATTTAACTTAAAGCAGTTTCCCTTGCTGGCAACAAAATGGAGAGTTCATTTGATATTGTCACCTATCCAAGTCAGATCAAATTAAATCTAGGTTTTGTCTTCCAGTAAATTAAAACCATTACCCAATGTAACATTTTCAAGAAGCAGCCATTTCTGACTAAATTTTTAAATAAGTGTTAAGCTGACAGGCTGTTCCTCCTGAGCCTCAGTTTCACCAAATAAAAGTTTTTGCTTCAACTCATGTTCAGAGGAAACAAAAAAAGGCAGTAGCATTTACTGCAGTCTGAATGCCAGGCTACATTTTACCTCAAAAGTCTCACCTTACATGTCTAAATTCTAAGGACAGATACACTCAGCACATGAGAAAGCTACAAGAAGCTAGCACGAAAGTCTTCCCTTGGCATTGCTGAACTATCCCACCAACTCCTAAAGATGGAAGGAGAAGGGGGGGGGGGGAAGAAAGGGGGAAAGGGGGGGGGGGGGAAGCACCACACCACCACAAGGCTGCTCCAACTCAGAAGAACAAGACATAGCACTTTTCAGGACCAAAACAAATTACTTGGTGAGGTCACGAAGCCCAGACAGAATGAACATGAGGACTTTAGGACAAGACAAGGAACAAGATGTGGAACACTGGACTAGCTGCCGGGAGGTTCCAGACAAGCCTTTCCACCACGTTGGATCTATGCTGCTTTTCCTACCCATCTCCTTTTCCCCTGTAACAAACTTTCTCTCCCCTAGCTGTTCAAGCACACGCTCTGCAGGAAGCATACACTACCTTTCCTTGCTCTCTACTCTGTAAGAGGAAACCAGCACTTGTGCAAACCTCCTTCTGCAAGGATTTGTAAAACAAAAGCCAAGCAAACAAACAAGACTGCAGGAGGGAAAAACAGAAGGAAGGTATTTGTACCATATCCAGACCCCTCTACCTAGCCCTGATGAAGTAATTTCTTCAGACTTGTTAAGCTAATGACATTTGGCTTGCCCCACCTAAACAAACTGCTGGCCTCAGGTAAGAAAGGATGCTGCTGTGAAGCTAACGCTATGAGATGTGAACACGAGACCCTCCAGGCCAAGCTAAAGTGTTGTCTGAAGGACAACACTGCCGCGAAGAACTGTTCAAAGAGCAATGAGGAGTGAATTGAGCCAGGAAACTCAACCTGGAGAGAGAAGACTGTTCGTCTCCTGAGGAAAGCGGGAGCATTTTCACCAGCAGCTCTCCTGTTTCAGCTCCATAAAGCACTTTAGCACTTTCTGTGAAGATCAGTTCCACGCCAAGCATAATCTTAAAGACAGAAATTGCTCAGCAGAATTAACTTAGCAGGCCTTAACACCAAATAGTTACATTTAATATCTTATTTTTCTGTAGCTGACACTAGTGTCAAACAATCAAACAAGAACAGTAAGTCTACTGAGAAAAATGCAGCCTCTAGCACTTCGCAACTTTGAAGTATGATCCCCGAGGTAGCAAAAGCCTGTAGAAATGTGCAAGCGCGAAGTTTTTAATCTCAGCCAGTCTGCATTTGGCTCTAGAGTTTTATCATAGCACCTACAAGACAACTTAATGCACAGTCCCATGCGATCAGAACTGTGATTTTGAGGAAAAGAGTTGAAGTGACCTCTCCTTTCATCCCTCCCCCTCTGAAGCATGTACATCCACTGCTTTCTTGTCTTTAAAACATACATCGTACCTCGTTTGATCATACAGGAAAAGATGCCGCTACACATCTTCCCCATTCACTATTGAAAGTTTAAAGCAAGCTTATTACTCAATAGAAATGTTATATTTGACCACTGGAATAAATAAATAATATAAATAATAAAGTGCTATTATCCACTTGATGAAAGGCAGCCTCTTTGTACACAAGAGCTGCTCTAATGTGTACAGGCCACAAAAAAGTACACCTGGAACCAAGGAGACTGTTGCTTCAAATTCCTTGACGTGTGCAGATGTATTGTATTTTTTTCTTCAGAAGTGTTTTATCAAATTATCATCAAGGATAACAGAGTATCAAAGGGGAAGCTTTGTAGTCAAATGACTTTGACAAGCATCTCACTTGATTTTCCATTAGGAAAAATAGATTAAACTTTTATAACAAGTTATCTTTGCTTTTTTCAAAAGGATTAAGAAGACTAAGATCATATGGTTGTCTCCCCTTCGAGCACGGTAGAAAAAGCCTCTGCAGTTGATAACCCCTTGTGCTTCCATGCACACTGGCAACCCTTAACACACAGCTTTAGGAGCATTTCAAGCTGTATTTGAGCTACTTGTTGAAACACCGGTGTCAGACTAAGATTTCAGTACACTACATTTTCCTTCTAAATTCACAGAAAGGTCCTTCAACAGTTTCTTGTGCTCAAACACCTTTTTACCATGAAAAAAATGGCCTTGAACCTGGCAGGTTTTCAGCCATATCGCATTTTATGTGTTTCAGAATATCAAGGGCACAATGCTCAGGTTATCATTAATCATTACAACTGCAGCTGGCACCAGCAAAGCACCAACACCCAAATTAGTGTTTAATCAAAAGGTGTGCCAGGTCTCCCAGAGGAATTTCGCTAATAACGCCGCGCTACAGACCCAAAACAAAGTCC